AATACTCAGTTGCCCTGTAAGAACCCAGTGAGCACTTGAACAAAGAGGAGTTAATAAATGTTACAGTCAGGTTTTTTTGGATAGGATTCTTGCAGAATATGATTTCATAATCCGCTGTCTCTAGTGAACAACAAGACCTCTGTAAACACTCAATATTCAAATAGAAAATTGTTTCTTGTAGGCTTCCATGGCACAAAATAAAAGCTCTGTAAATCTGGGCCTCCATATGTGGTTCTCAGCTGGTGTAAGTCCCTGAATGAATTACATGTGAACAGAGAAATTAATGCTACACACATGGTGGCCAAACTTGAAAGCAAAAATTGCAACTGAGAATATACTGCAGTGGATTGTGAAATATTTGAAGATAAATGGAAGCTTGAGTCCTTGTTGATATAATGCATCATTGATGCATTTCAAGGAATACACAACTATCAGAGTGAGTACAATACTGAGATCACATTTGGGAGAGTGTAAGGACTCACTCTTTAAAATCAAAGACTGGATTTAAGCAGAATGCAAGCTGAAAAGGCAAGTATGCAATATTGACAATCTAGCATAATTTTGAAGAAAAATTGGGTAAAATACTTCCCCCCTCTTTAAAAATCTGACAACTTACTGTTGCAGTAAGCGTATATCCTATCCAGGTTTTGAGATCGTTGTACTCTAAAGCAGCTTTTGTTAATCAGTCAACGTTGATGATGAATTACCCAAGAGTTTTGGTACTTTTGAAACAGTTGCGATCTTTTTGTTGTTGTTTTTTTCCCCCTTCTCCTCTTGACAGAGGAGGAGGGAAGAATGTGCGTGTTACAGTGAATTCTAAATGAGGACTGTGCCTCCCCTGTTTGCAAAAAGCCAAGCAAGGCAGTAAAAATAATAAATAAAACAAATGAAACCCTCTTTAATCCATTCATGAGCTTGAGTGTTTCAAGTAGGCCATAATATTAAGACAAAGAGTTCTGAAAGAGATGGATCAGAGGAAAGTGCTATTGCTTAAACAATGTCAGACTATTTAATTGAATTCCGTATTTGTCAGCACTGTATTTTCCCATGTCCAGGATTCTTACTGTTGATTCAAGGCTTAAGGCCTAAATAGAAAGGGCAACAACTGCCGTGTATTTTGATCCCGAACAAGCTGTGTCCTTTGAAACGCCAGCACTTGGCGTATGGAAGAATGCTGGAGTGCTTTGCTGCAACAGAGGGCACCAGCAAAAGAGGTAATGAAAATATGTTATCCCCATGAATTCGACCTTGCTGCAGCATACTGAGGGAACCTGACAGAGAAATTTTTTAAGCCTGATGTTATTTCTGTAACAATTTATTAGTATTTATCACAAGGACAACTGGTACTGGGTTGTGGACCAAGAACAGGGCTAGGAGCCAGGAACTCTCAACTCTGTTTTTTTGAATTGATTTGGCAGGTTTTTTTGATGTATAAAATCTATAGTTTAGTCCTGGGCAATAACAAATGTTCATTACCTTATTATAAAAGTTTAAACTGTTTTCCTTGTTGATTTGTTGCACAAAGTAACTGCTTGTGTTTCCCTTCCCTCAATGGATATCTTATGCCTCATACTCCACAGCAGGGCTGAAGGGAGCTACCTGGACTTGGGTAACAACAGCTCAGGCTGGAGCAGGAGACAGGTAAAACTTGTAAGCTTTAGGCCATAGTATCTGCTCTTTTTCTGTAGAGAGCTTCCCTACTCTGGCATGTCCCTCTGTCCCAGCCAACTTGCTACTACTGCCATATATGTAAGAACAAATAGAAATTTGACTGTTTTTTCTCTTTTGTACCGATACCACTTTTGTTTATATATTGAGGACCACAAGTGGTCCATGATTACGAAGAGGATGATCAATCCTTTGTCCAACTCCTTAAGTCATCTTTGCCAAAATTTTAGGAGCATGCTCCCACTGGAGTGTCAAACATAAACCGTACCATAGCTGGAGCAAATGTTTTGGCAGGGGACCCTGACTTGGATAGAGATGGCACTAGAAGAAGGATGGTTGAAATTGGTCCCTCCATGCAACTGTCCATGTAAGAAAACTCTGCTGAGACACTTTCTAAAATTCAATCAAATACTCTGTGAATCTTACTGAGTGATATTTGCCCAACTTACTGTGCCCAGATCCTCAATCACCTTTCATTTACAGCAAGCATATATAGCCTAGGTACCTCCTTTTCCATCACGTTGTGCTCCAAATGCCCATGAAATTCCATTTTTTTTAGAGGCTGGAAGAGCTCTTTCCTGATTAGTACATGAGTGACAGATTAATTCCTGCTTCTGCCAGTGGCACAAAATAAGTTGACTTGGGTGCTGTGGGTTCATGCTCTCAATATCCTGAATGCTGAGTGCAGAATCTGGCTATTTTAAAGTAAATTGCACTTCAATTTTGCTTGAAGGATCATGAAAAATGTGAGTATGGGCACCATGTTCCTTGAAACACACCATACATAAATTGAGTTAAATCAGATACATTTTTATCTGCCAAAATTGGTAAGTATGGGATGCAATAGAAGCAGTGTGCGTTTGATTTATTTTTTTTAAGCTTTCATTTTGGGATTGGATGTTTTACTTGAAGAAATACCTCAGTGAAATACAGGTTACCAGGCTCAACAGAGCAATGATCGGGAGAAATTCTGTGCTTTATCTCCATGCAAGGGTCTGATTATCTTAGCTGATAGATCTTAAAAATCTATGGTGCTTCAAAGTACTCTTGTCCCTGCTAACAAGCCCACCCATCTCCCTGCCATTTGTACCAGCTTTTTCCAATTAATTTTTCTGTCACTAGCAGAAGTGTCTTCGTTTTGCCTAAAGTTCAAGGTGAGATGATACTTCTTTCAGCTGCCTCTAGTTCTCCCAAGCTGTGACGAGGCACAGCTTTCCCTACTGCTGAACATGCAATTTTAGCAGCATTAATTGTAGGCAATTTTTTAAGAAGTAGTGCTAAAAGAGGTTCCATAAATAGGAATGTTATGACCCAAGGAAATGACTTACCCAGGTGGAAGGATCTGCCACTAGTGCATCTATCAACCCGCCTCCACAAAAAACGTACAACAAAACTCCAGAGTTTTAACCTGCCAGTATAGAGAGTGGTTTCATTTCATAATTCCACAGAGACTGGGACCACAAAACTAGCTCACAGAGTTGTTTCATTCTATCTAAAAACCCTTGTGTGGTCTGGCTGCCTCTGCACTAGTCTTCATTTGTCCCTGCAAGGGGTTGTGGGAAGAGAAGTGTCACTATTGCCATTCCCAGAGAAAGAAGTGAGATGCAAAGAGGGTAAAGACTTGTGTGAGCTGGCTCAGGGATGGTACGTTGAAACTGAAATTTCAAAGCACCAGGCTTATCATCAGCTTATGCTTCTGCAATAGAGCAAATGGGCTGTGCGGCAACAGTGAAAATTTGAAGGAGTTTTTGTAAAATCAGGCTCAAAATCTTTTACCACTCTCTGGCTAACTGAATTCAAAAGCAAAAACATTTCTGTGGAACCTAAAGGTTTCATTTGTCATCTTGCTTAATAATTTTATTAAGCTTTTAGTTTAATTATAATTTCAAATAACTGAATATACCTGAAATACTTCATTTTTAAACACTTTTTTTTTTTTTATACTACTAATTAACACACTACTTTTTTTCAGTTTTGGGAAGATTTGTATTTATTTTGATTGAAGCACTTTTTTTTTTTTTTTCTTTTTTCTGCACATCATGCAATTTCGATACATTTTAAATGAGCAGTCCCTGCTCAAGTCCAAGCTCTGGTTCTGATGTGTGCGAAGAGCACAGCTGCTCTGAACCCACCACATGTTAAAGGGATGAATATTAACTTTTTTTTTTTTTTTCCAAAGTGACTCTTTAATTGAAACATTAAATATTTAATGAGCTATTTCTATCCAAAAGGGAGGGGGGAAAAAAAATATCATGTGGTTTATTCCCAAGCAAAACTCATGCTGGTGTCTGGTACACCATCAGTGGTGAGCTGGCAGCAGTCAGTGCTAACACAGCCTGCACACAGGACACCCTTGGGGGGTGCTGGTTTGCACCCCCAGATCTGCTCCGAGCCCTTGGTACCTTACCTACACCCCTTAACATAGAGCCTGTGTCCAGTATTTCAACTGGAAAGCATCTCTGGCTGTGGTTCTTTATATGAGTCCTTACTCCATCAGTGCATTTGGGTAAAAATGGCATTTCTAATTGAGCAAGGCCCTCTTGGTAACGAAGGGCAGCAGCGCTGTCGAGATCACTCCTTCATATTTCTCTTCCTGTTCAGGAGACAAAACTAATTTATTTATGAAATCAGAGCAACCCACCAGATTAGCCATATAACTAGCTAGCTGCGTTGTTTAGATTCACTTGTTTGCTATCTCATGACATCCAAGTGAACAAGCTATATGTCAATGAAAGCGTTGGCGCTCTATCGTATATTATAGACTAGTTTGAAGTGCAAAAAAAAAAGATCCTGCAATGGGGCTACAAGCAGTAATTTTTTTTTTTTTTTTCCAGTGAGCATATGCTGCGAGTGGGAAAGGACCGTATAATGTAAACGGAGGTTTCATTAGCGATGATACGTGGCAGTCCCTGGGTAAAGGAAGAGAAGGCAAATCTGGGAGCACCTGTAGACTTCGCAGGTTTATATGCATGAGGAAGAGGCACGTGCAGGGGTGTACTGGGGGCAATGATAGGATCTGTTCTTCCCCCTTAGTTTCCCCTCGGGCCTCCCTGTAAACAGAGCGTGTTTGCCAGGCTCAGGCAGTTTGGATGCAGAATAAGTCCCTCTCTGTGCATCTGGCCTCCAGAAACCAATTTTTGCAAACAATAGGCAAACGCTCGCTTCCACTGTAAGTTTTAGCATTTCTATCAGAAAGGCAGAGGGTCTGCCGGGAAATATTTTTGGCCAAATGTCTCCCACGTACCCACCATTCTGGTTTTAAAAGTTCCTGTTTAACTTTTCCAGAAATTTTGGATGATTGGCCTGGCTGTGTTTCCTCTCCCGCCCGACGTTTTCCTCGCAGCAGGGAGGGGGAAGGTGCCCCGTGTGTTTCGGGCCTGACCATGCTGAACGCCGAAGACCTTGCCGTCCCCGCGGGTGCGCTGAGCATTTCCATCGTTACCCTCCCGCCAGCTCGTGGGCTGATATTAAATGGACCCTGTGGTGGAGATGCTGGTGGCAGGAGCTGCTGAGCTCAGCAGTGCTTCATCAGGACGCGCAGATTCACAGCTTTTTCCCCGGCTGAACTCAAGCAAGGTCTGAGTAATGGCACTTTGGCTTTCCTCCGCTGCCTTTTATTGTTTAGCTGCTTTTCGCTGCATCAGGGCTCTGGGGATGATAGACGGCGGCGCGGGGGGGGGGGAAGCGGGCTCGGCGGTGCAGGGTGCTAGCACCCCGTAACGAGGTTTGGGTTCATTACAGCCCGGCTCAGCTGTGCACAGGAGGTTTAGGCCGTGCTGGGGGGTGGGTGTGATGGGGTGGGGGTGAAGGGGTGAGGGGTGCGTGGGGGGGGGGGGGGTGGAAGGCAAGTGTGGGATGCGCGGGATGCGGATGGCCTCTGCTGGGAGCCACCGCTCACTGCAGCCGCTCGGCCCCGCTGCGCCGAATGAGCCAGGATTTACCTCCAGGAGGGAAAGGGGAGGCCAGGGTAGGGTGGTTTGTGGACGAACTTCTGCGCAAAACCACCCCCCCACCCCCCCCTTTCCTTTTGCCAGATCCTTTTGCTTTATTTTCCCCCGCGCAGAGCCCATTAGGAGCTGCTGCTCTGGAGAGCCACAGGGTTTTAGTGCCCTCGCAGCACAGCTGGGTCGAAGGCCGGCAGCCACCCAAGGGTATCTGCTGGCACAACTGCCTGCAGACTCTGCTGAGGAGCCAGATGCAGCAGGGGAGGGGGAAGGCAAAAAAAAAAAAAATCCCTTCCACAGCTTGGCATCTGCACGGCACACGTGCCAAGCAGTGCGGGAGCAGAGGGAGAGGAAGCGGGGGTGGCTGGGGGCTATTTGGCACCCCCGCAGCCCACAAACGGTTTGGGTTTGAGCTGAGAAACAAGCACCATGCGCTAATGTAAAGTGTGTGTTTTTTGAAAGTTGAAAAACCCGTGTTGAAATGAAAAAAATGCCAGCCGGTCGACGCCGCGGGCTGAGTTCAGCAGAGTCAAAATCCTCCTAATAAAGGGCGGCCTTTCTGCATACAGACTATGTGGGGTGCAGTTGTGAGGAGCAGCCCCCACCTCTTATCTATTTTGGGAGATGTTGAAGGTGTCCTGGGACCATTCAGCACTGAGGGTCAGCTCGTACAGCTAACATCAATCCACTTGATTGTTTAATGTTCAAGCCTGTACAAGCTGCTTGAAGCAAGATATAAAGCAGGTGTTAGAAGCCTCTGGAAAGTTTGCTGTCAATTACTGTGATTTCCTCTTCCCAACAAAGACTTAAAAGCTGAATGGATCTTTTCAGTTATGTAAATGCACTTTTCCATAAATACTTATTTTGCAGCAGAAACCAAAAAAAAATGCCTGTGGGGGCTGGTGTGTCTAGTTAGGGACTGATCTAATCCCACTCACATCGGTGAGGTCGTGGAGGTATTCGGGCTGGCAGCGGCCCGGGTCAGCTCTGAGCGTGGGTGTCAGAGGCTGCCATCCCGCCGTGGGTGTGGGTGCTCCCGGGGCAGTTTGCAGGGCATTTCTGCATCCCCCGTGCACACTCTGCTCTCTGCGGGACTGGGACAGGATGTGTTTTTCAATTTTACAAAATCTGGATTCAATAGGAATTGTCGCACTGCTACTGATTTATCAGGAGAAAACCTTCCCTTTGCCCTCAAATTTGAGAGGAATATATTTGCACCAAGGCCATGAAGGCTAATCATTTGCTCGTTATTTCTGAAGAGCCAGAGGTTTATTCAGCGTCTGGGCTGTGAGCTAAAACTCCTTTGCAGGCATGGCTAGATGTGAGTTTTTTCTCTTCACTGCAAAGGCAGTGTGATAGGAAATAGCAATGCAATGGGTGAGACTGGGAGGACTGGGCTTAAGCTTCTCTCCCAAACTGGTCGATGTCTGGTGGCTTCAGTAGATGACGATGCTGATCACTGACAATGTGATTTTGGGGAGGGAAATCTGAGGGAAACTGTGGCTTGCTGCTTTTACATGGCGTCTTAAAAATCTTTGGAGAACATAAAAGTGGTAAAGATTTTGTTTCTGTATCTCGTTCGTTGCCCAGGGTGACTTTTAGTGGATTAAGCTAATCATTTCTAGGAATGTTTTTTCTTTAATGCAGTCTTTGCAATTCAAAAATCTTTTTCTTTTTCTTTTTTTTTTTTCTCAGTGCATTCAACTACCTAAAGTTTAGCAAACTCTGGATGTATTTACCTGCATATACTCAAGGTGATGACTAGTATCAGGTAAGCCTGTTCCATGAACAGTTTCATCCCATGTTTCCCTATTACCTTGTCCCAGAATGGTTTGAAAGCTGCATATGAGTAGGAAGCTACATCAAGTCTCCAGGAGCATTGCTACAAATCTTTCTGGGGTCACTGATTTTCTAGGTTACTTGATAAATCTGGCTTGCGCCCGCCTGTGTTTTCCTACCACATGGAAGGTTTGGCAAGCTGGGGCCACTGACGGAGTGTGAAGCACTTGGATGCCACGGTGACAAGGGTTATGCTTGTGCCCAGGGAACACGACATTTAGGAAGAGCTTCAGCTCTGCAAAGCAGACGTGTTGAAGAACACATCATGTATGGCTCTCTTTTAATTGCCCTCAAAATTTACTGAAGAAATTGCCAGTATCTCACTAGTGATCGAGGCCTCCCATGGGGACTGCTCCAAGGCGTGCAGAGCTTGGCTTACTCTCTGCTCCTTAAGTTAGCCAGGGAATGACTTCCAGATCCCCACTGTGCTGCTTCTGCTCTTGCATTTGCAGGAATCGCAACAAGAATAAAGGATCCGCCAAGGGCTGCTAAACATGGACTTGACCCCTTGGGAGGGGTCCGAGCTATGAGACCACAGAAGAGAAATATCAAAACCCTATCCCTAGGAAAGCACAGTGTGGGGGGCACGCTGGCAGAGGGGCAGCACCCTCTCTGGGTGCCAACATCAGGCCATGAGTTTTATGGGTTTGCATAAGGCCTTGCCAAACAGGTCGGGGCATCAGCATCGCAGCAACAAGGATTTCTTTCAGTGGAAGCAGGATGGGCTTTCTGGGACACCAAATCTGTAGTATTTAAAGATCACAACTGATGTCTTAAATTCCAGGGAGAGTTGGGGTGACTTTTTTGGAAATAATAAGATCACTATGTTCTAAGTTTTTAGAGAATCCAGGGTTTTCACTGTAATTTCCCCCTCTTTCCTGTAGGACCGATGCCGCTGTACATGCATAATGACACAGAAAGCCTAGAGGATAGTTTTACCACACAGCTGACAGATGGCAAACGCACAGTCCAAGGGACACTTTACATCTACATCATGCCAGTCAACGATCTTTCCCTCATCTTTCCAGGTTAGCTATCTAAGTGACATTCAGTGCATAAAGACTTACAAAGAAAATTTAAAAAAAAAGGCAAGAAATGGAAGCAACCCATCTCTCCACCAGGACCTCCAAGCCCACCCACAGTACAGAGGAGATCTTGCTTTCATTGCATGTGTTATCCCTGAAAGCTGGTTGGTAGCAAGGCTGTGCATGCTGCTGCCTGGTGCAGGACTGTGACAAGCCACACAATACCATCCAGCAAAAACCATTCATGCAGAAATAGCTGGTTTGCGGTCTCTGGGCAGAGGCTTGTTTGTATTTAAGTTAGTGGCAAAACTCTGGTTGTCTTCAATTAGGCCAGAGTTGCTCCTTTTTCACACTCTACTTCTCTCTCCCACTTCCTATATTCCCTTCTGTATGTTTTCTCCATTCCCTTTAATCTATTTTTAACAGTGAATCTTGTTGAGAAGAACATGGTATGGGTTTTTTTTTAATATTAAAGGTCCAAAGCCAGTTGGAGGCAATGTTATTGGTCACATTCTCTTCAGGAGAGCAGGAGTGCCACCTCTGGGAATAAGGCTTCAAACAAAGAGGAAGGAGCTACACAGATAATAATAATAATTAATTGTCTCTCTTTGCGAACGGTAAAGTCCTTCTGACATTCTTTCACCATAAAATAGTCTGTCATAAAGTTTTTGAGTGGCATGTCAAGTCTAAGCCCTGTCATACGCATGCAGGTATGAACTTTTGTTTATTGGTTTGAAGAACACAGGAAGAAACCTGGCCTGTTGGCATGTTGCGGTACTGGAATATGAGAGATGTGGTTTCACTCACTTCATGACCATAAAATGTTTTGGCCTAATTCAGGTTTCTGTTCTTAAGAATTCACAAGTTGACAAAAAAATAAATCCTATGGAGTTGCTGAATCCCTCCAGACATGCCAGATCCAGTCTAAAAAAGGATTAACATATTGATTTTGCTCCTTGCCCTGTGTAGACCCTTTAAAAGATCTCCATGGGCCACAGGGGGGAAAAAAAAAACATCAGGGAGCAAATACTTCAGTGTCCTCTCTGCATTGTGACAGTAACAGCATTTTCTTGACTCACAAAAACAGTGTGCAGAGCTAAAAATAATTTCTATTCTCATCCCACAAGGAATTTTGGGATTTGAAAAATTAAACTTTTGTCTCAAAGAGAGAAGAAAATCAAGCGCAAAATTGTATCCAGGTTTGACTCTTCCCACCAGCAGTGTTTGAATCCCCATTTTCAGGGCACGAGAAACCTGTTTGATCACAAAATACTTGGTGAACTCTTAGTTACAAAGATAAGTACAAGCTTTCTTTTTGAGGCATAAATCAGTGCACGTATGAAATCCCATGTCACTCTGCCTGGGTGCCTGCAGCCCCTCTGCTGGGGTCCTTTTTTGTGAGGTAAAGCAGAAAAGTCCCATGCAGTTGCCCCTCTCTGGAGCGGAGCAGCAGCCCCTGGTGTGTGCAGGGGGTAATCGACGCTCGAAACAGCTTTGGCTCTGTTCCCAGAGCATCACATGTGTATTTTGAAAATTTTCATAGAAGTAGTAAACAACGAGAAGTTATAAATTGGACACGTGTCCCTGCTTCCTACCAGCATTTCCTTAGGGGCGCACAGGCATGAAGCCGTTGAGCCTTTTGCTCAGGGAGGGGGGAATGTTGCCAGCTTCCCCCTTCCCTTTCCTTCCAGGTCTTTTCCTTGCAAGGCTTGGATCTGTTACTGTATCTCCTTCATCCTACTCTTCTCTGCCTTTTGCCTTGGTCTGGGTTTCTTCTGCTTCACATCTTTCCCTACTTTCCCCCATTTCTCGCAATTTCCCTCTCATTGTCTATCTGAGGACAGTTCCTTGCTGCTCTTTCCATCTTCATTGGCATGAAATAGCTTTCCTGGATCCGTATGTTCACTCCTTCATAGTGTGAGCAACCCCATGGTGAAGTCCCTTATTTAATCTTTCAATTTCCATGTTATTTTCTAGTCCGTCGGAGGTGAGCATCATATCTCAAATCTCATTTATGCGTTCCCAGTCCATAGTGTGAATTAGGCCCTTCAGTGAGGGAAGGAAATGTGCCAGTATTACCATTTTCCACCAAGACATGGAGCTGGAAATGTGCTTTTCTGCTCAGAGCCATAAATCTGACCTGTGGTTTCATCAAAATCTGTGAGGCTGAAGGACAACATAAGAAAAAACCACATGCATGTACATGGCAAAGCTTTCTGTCCCAGTCCTGCAGGAGCAGATTTGTTGAAATGTTTTTTAAAAATTCTATCTGCTTGATGCTAAAAGGAGCCTGTTCATGCTTAATAAGTTGGAGAAATTGCTCAAAAATACTTCATCCATATGAAAGCATGAGCCCTGTACCGCTGCCAAGAGAAGTGAGACCTGTGGTGTCATGCCGAGTAAGTGATGGTCACACGAATCAGAAAAGCTTAGGTACAGATCCCTCACTACCACAGTTTTCCCTGAGATGTGAAAATATAACAGGGAAAATACTAAGCAGCGTTCAGTCTTTCCAGCCAGATCTGCCTCTTTTGGCCACAATCACGGGCCACGTACCAAGCGGTGTAAGAGAGACCAAAATAACATCTTTAAACAATCTGAGCTCCCTCTTCCACTACTTTGAAATCAGAACTAACTAAGAAATAAGGAGCCTCAGGTGCAGCTGCTGCCCGTTGCACTGTGCCGGGTGCTGTGCAAACACATCAGTGATATTCCTACTGCAAGTCATGCAGGAAAGCCAATGGCCTTTCTTGCAGCACATGCATGTATTTTAATTATCCTTACTAGCTTATTTATCGCTGTTCTTATCTGTTTTTTGCCCAGCCTCTCACCTTATTGCTTTTCCAACACCAGGTTGGAGAAGTCTCTTGGTTCCCAGGCACTTCAGCTTCCAACCTGAGGAGCAAGGGTGACAGTGGAGGCATTGGAACATGCTTTAAGTTTGGACAAGGGAGTATGTGAAGTTTGTAACTTCTGTGCAACGTGGAGACACGCTGAGCTCGAGGAAGTCTGTCTCAAATCGTTAAAATTCCCCTCGCTAAATGAGCAGCGACTGCTGATGGTTTGTTTTTTCACCAGTGTCTCCTTTCCTGTTTCCTTTTTTAAATTTTTTCGCCCCAGGAGTACGGGTTTGGAAGTTGAGGCAGGTGAGAAAAGCTATTTCCAGTGCTGGGTCAGAAGCAGACATCAAAGATGCTCCAGGGGATGAGCTCAACTGAACTGTCCCCATGTGCCCAGGTCTGCAGCTGAAGGCAGCGGTAGCTTTAGGGCTTTTATTTCTCCCTTTTCTTGGGGATGAATGAAATCCCTATCCAGCTCCTGCAGCAGCAGACTTATTCTGGAAATGGTTTTGCTCATGACTTGACTTGGTTGATAGGGTAAGCAGCAAGAGCAAACACAGGTTTTTATTTGAAACCGTCTCCTGCGTTGAGGTGACTCTGGTATGTTCCCTTAGGGATTTCTTTCTCAGTTCCTCCTTGCCTCTGCTTCAGAGGTGCCCACAGCCTCTGTCCCTACCCCACCTGGAGCTAACACCACACACATACATAACACCAGGGCAAGCTAGAAGCCATACTCCAGCATTGCCCTCTGGCATCCCAGCCCTGCTGTTGAATAACTTGGAGGAAAAGCTTTGCCTCTTGAGCTCAGACCCTAGAAACTACTTCTTGCTGCACAACTCCCTCCACCATCCCTCTCTGTAATGACACATTTTAGCTGACTTTTATATCGGTTCTCTAAGCCACTGTGCTGTCTTCTTCCTTTTATAATTAAGCAACTTGAGAAATCCTTTGAGGTCAATAAATTCTGAGGAGGCTTACATAAAACAGAATATAAAATGGAGAGCCCTGCCATCAGAAGCCAGTAAAAGTCAGCCTCTTTGCACGACACCTCTGCAAATGGCATTATG